GGGTTTTTCCGGGTGGTTTGGGGGGGGGGGTACGGGGCGTGCTTTGCGAGGGGTGGTCTAGGGGGTCAAAAGTGGTCTCTTCGCGTCCTGATATAGGATGCACAGCAGCCAGTGCAGCGGGAAAAAACTCTTGTTTGCTGTTCGATTTCCAGAAGGGGAGCAACAGTCAAGATTGGTAGGTGAGATCGGTTGGACGATCGAAACATGTAGCGACGTCACGCCTCGCCCATAGCTGCAACCCCCGTTGCCGTGTGTGCGCTGTTTTAGCAGAGTGTGGGTTTAGTCGTTAATTTAAGTGATGATAATTTCTGTTTTGTTTTTTTTTACTTACGGTAAGTTTGTTTTTTGGGCTGTATCCATCCCGTACACACGGGCGACAAAAGAAAAAGGGGTCTGTGGCTCAGCAACTGATTATTATGTGATGAGAGAGCTAGGGAGTGGTGTATAATGGCTTTCTTGTCTCAGGTTCCAAGTTGTCCTCCCTCGTCTTTCGTCGGTCGTATTTTTGTTGTGGTCGGTTTCTGTCCCCTGTCCCCGCGTCGGCATTGCGACAGACCGACTGCCTCCAGCTGTTGAAAACCGTGTTTTTTCTTGTGCGTCTGAGTGCTAGAGTTGTGTGTGTTTTTTTCACGAACGAACACGAAAATGGAGGCAGGTTCGTTCACCTCCTCCTTGAATCCATTCTCATCCGTGAAGAAGAAGAAACGAAGCCAGGGTTGTGTATCGGCGATGTGTCTTGGTTGTGCTTTCTTTGGCCTTCTTGATTCGATACTTAATACTACCATACGTGTCTTGTGCCGTCGTCATTTTACGTCTTGGTTTCGCCTTCTTTCTATCTATTTGTATGTGTCCACGGCTTTTCTTGTAGAGGGGAAGAGAGCCACACTGCATGGCACAGCAACGGGCAGCAGGCAGGAAGACACACGGGCAAACTAAGAACGAAAACAGAAAATCTGGTAGCTGTTATGCAACGTTTGTCGCTGCTGGCTGCAGTTGTTGATGATGATGGTATGCTTTGGTTGTATCTGGGTTGTTCCAGGTATGTAGGCTTGCCTGGCACAGCTTTTTTTTTGTTCGGGCGTGAGTGCGCACTCCTCTCTTTTCTGTTCTCTATCAAATGATGGCAAGCATCACATCATCGGCGAATGAACTACGATTCGAGAGAGAGAGAGAGAGAGAGAGAGAGAGGAGAGAGAGAAGGAAGCAGAGGTTGAGCGCATGGATGTATGCCTGCCGCGATTTTGAGAGCCATATTTTTCCTTCATCTCCCGTATTCGGAGAGAGTATTTTTCTATCCTATTCTTCTGTGTGACGAGAAGCATGTGCCTGTATCTGTACAGAGTTGTGACTGTGCCTGGAGGGGAGAGGTCAGGCTGTGGAGATGCTGTTGGTTGAACGTAAAGGGCCCGATAACCATCTCTGCACGCGCCCTGCATTGATTTATCGTGCATCAGAGAGCTACGGAGTGAAGTAGACCGCGGCGGGGAGACGGGGCATGTTTGGAAAGCATGGGCATTCATTCACTGTTGGTCGCTAAAATCGAGGCTTCCTTTTCCTTGCCTTGCGCTTTTCTGATCTGTTGCCCTATGCATACTCCGACGTGTTTGTCTCTATCCTTCCTCACGTGGCTGGCGGGGAGCGGGTACACTTACCGCTGAAAGCGATAGCCCCAGCCATCCCATCGTGGTTTGTTGAGTTTTTTCTCGATGTACTAATACGACATAGCAGCAGGCAGGCTGTCTGTGTAGTACGTCGGCTACGGCAAGAGCTAGCTGTACTACAGCAGTATGTTTATGCGGAATCGAGGAATCGTGGTTTTGAGAGTGTGAGTTTGAAGGGAGAAGGGGAATAGTAGCCTACGGTATGAATGCATGTCTTTGTTTTTCGTCGTCGGTGAAGTGCGGCGAACGTAAGCATACCGTACTTGCTCATGGAGGGAGGGGCGGGGGGGATCGAGCGTTGGCCGTTGGGCCGTGTTGTAGATTAATTGTTTTTTAGGCGGTGTCTTCTTTCGCTACGAAAGTTCCGAGTATTGGGACCGGCAGGGGAAGGATATCATAAGATTATCTTGTTTCTTTATGCATACGTATTATAATGTTGTCTTTCATGTGTAGTATGCATAATAGGTGGATACAGCAGCAGTTGGTTGGCGTGGTCCTGAGCTGGTGCAGGTTTTGTGTGCGTCAGTGGCCGGTGGGACACGCTTAGTTTGTTGGTGTATAGGGGCAGTAGTCATCGATAGATGATATCTTGGCCACCTTTCAGTTATGTTCCCTTCTGTCGTCGGTGTCCATGTGATGACAGCAGCAGTCGCGCCACGCACCACACGCTGCCTGATACAATGGAGCGGACTGCGCTTTTTTTTTTGTTCGTCGTCGTATACATTATAACAATATAATGATTCGTCGTTTTTTTTTTTTTTTTCTCGAGTTATTACGTCGTCTTCTCCTTGTCCCGCCATATTCCGCGTACACTGGTCTGTTTGCGGCTGGCTACCACCTAGAAATGATTTTTTGTATGGTCTAGCATACATTGCGACGATGGTTTTCTTGGTAGAGTTTGTTCATTTTGAGAAAGAGAGAGACGAAAGGCAGAGAGAATTCAATGATTTGATATTTTTAGGCAGAGTGGGGATGATAATATTTATTTGTTGAGAGTTTTCTTTCGCTTTTTCTCATTTTGTTGTGCGCGTGCAGGTGCGCAGCTGGGTGACCCTGTGACCCTGTTCTCTGATAATGATGAGAGCATTGCGTTCTTCGATGCGCGTTCTTCGATGAACGCCGATCGTCCGTCGCGTAAACCGGCTGACCAACAAACGCAGAACAATCAAGTCTTGGTTTGAAGAGGACGAACAATCAACCAATCACCGTCGTCGAGCTCGTGCGTTTCTGCGAGAAAAGCGAAGACGGTGTTCGGTCAGGTGTTGATTGTAGGTTCCCTTTGTCGTACATGTAAGGCATCAAATCAAATCGCCGAGTCATTCGTCGTGTGTATCAACAGAGGGAGGTCCTGCCTGTCCTCAATGCGTTTTTCTTGTGCAGGCACGGCATGCTCTTGTCGGCAGGAGGTGATGGTTGGCATGAGGCAAATAAAGCCACGTCCTTCACTTCCTCCTTCGTGCGGTTGCTATGCATTGCATGCTCGTTGCAACAACAGTGGTGGAGGGCCCGGTGTCAGCGCCCCCCCCCCCCCTTGTTTAGCGAGATAGATGCTCTGCAAGACGGCCACAGAATCGCGTAGCGACCGCCACACGCCCAACAGACCAATAGCCGCTAAATAATAACGGCAAACGATAATAACAGCGTCTCACCACGAAACATGGGGGGACTGTCGCCGTAATAAATAATGGGATGAACAAAACAACATTTTGAGTAGCGACGGCCATGCTCCCCCTCCTGCCACTAATTAGGGGTCCCAACCTACACCGTGACGGCCTATACTCGGGGGAGGCGGCCGATGAGTCAGTCTCCTCCTCGAGCAAGAGAGCCAGCCCTGATTCATCAGCATTGCTTCATCATGACCCTTGCTCTTGCCTTGCTTGGATCGTTTGCTTGCTTGCCCTGACCTTGAAACGCGACCCAACAACACCAACAAGGCGCTCGCTCACCACAACCAACCGTCTCTGCTTCTGAACCGCATCTTGCAACTTGGGGCAGCAAACGGGAGTCTTTCTTGGTATTGCGTAGCGGGACGAAGGGAGCACAAACAGGCCAAGTCAATCATTCGGAGAACAAAGCACCGGCTCGCTCGCAAGACCTTTCGTCGCATCGGCTAGCTAGCTAGATGGTCCACGTAGAAGAAGAGAGATAACTTGTCAGCGTTAAAACTCATCACACGAAAACACGAAATCAACCCCGAGTGGGAATGACAAGCCCAGAGCGCCACATCTTCGCCACCAGCTTGAGGTGAGATTGAGTTTAACGTTGTGGTTCCGGTGAGCGGGCCGGCACTCTATCTCTGTACAATAGTATACTGCTGGCGTCGTGCAGCCGCTGCGAACTCTCCCGATTACATGCAACGCGGGGGGCGGCCTGGGCGGAAGGAACAATGGCCACCCGCAAGATGGGGAATACTATCTATTAGTTGACTGTTAATACCGAGGCACACTACTGTTGGGGCATTTTGGTGTATGCATACCAGTACATATTTGCATTTTTCACATCCACAACCACAAAGAGCGAGCAGACCATACCTTCCCGACAAAACCCCAGCCAAAAGATCGGTGTTGCTTCCACGAGGGGTCTAATGCAATCACTGCTGGTCAATAAACCACGTTTTGGGGGGCCGCCACCTCGTGTGGGATTCAACGAAACAACAAACCAGTCCTGCCCTCCCAAACCTGGAAAGGTTTGCGGCTCTTTCGCGTCTACGCGCAACAACAGCGGCGGAGACTCCGGAAACAAACAACCCCAGGCAGCTAGCTTAAACACAAACAACGATTGTCATCGTGGCGTGAAATTCTCTCCTACCCCCTTTCTGACGTTACAACGCAACGCGGTCCTGTCATGCCATGTAGCCCCTCCCCCCTCCCCCTCGGTAAGTCAAGCAAGAAACCATCTATCGTTGAGTTTGGTTCACAAAAAACTGTCTTTCAAGACACGAACGCTTGTGGTCACGGTCGCACACAAAAACTGCAGGACGTCGACAGAATCTTTCCGCTCTCTTTTCTCTCCTCTTTTCTTCCGCGGGCAGGGACGGATCCGAGCTAAACACGCCCACAACAAATCTCCAGAATTCTCAAACTCTCTCCTTCTTGTGCCCACCCTTTTCCTCGCTCTCTGCCACCGCACCCCCCTCGTTATTATACCGGTGACCCTTCCATTGCTATCTCGTGCATCCCTTGCAACGCTCTCAACTCCCCCCACCCCTCTCTCCGGGCGTGGCTACCATAACCTTGCTTCACCTACTAAATACTACATACTAAATACGCCCCCGGTCATCTTGCCTCCGCACCTCTCCACTTCAGCACACGACCTTCACCCCCCCAACAACGCCCTCAAGCCGTCTCCAATACACCCCCCTCGCTCCGCCGCCATCGCAACGCGCTTCCACCTTGTAACTCCTCCTCCCCCTTGTCTTCGTTACTCCAACCCGGAACTTCAGCCGAGGGCGTTGTACCTCAGAGTTCGCATGGCATTGACCTGTGTATGGTGTCGACGACCATGTTTGTGAACATAAAATCCAAAATATTAAATTGTACGAGGGGGGGGGGGTTACTCACGGTGTTGCATGCCTATTTGTCAGACTATTGGCCAGGGGGGGGGGGCAGGGGACAGCAAACACGGTGGCGAGGGAGCAACTGCAGCATGAGTTAGAAATGCATACTTTCGAACCAAGCATGTTGCATGAGCTTTCGAACGAAGTATGTTGCATAAGCTCTACATCATATTCACACATGTTTACCTGCGGGACCCATGACGCTGGGATAAAACAAGGAAACAAGGGCAACACGGTTCGGTTCGGTTCGGTTCTAGGGTAACACACAGCCAAGGGGCTCCTTGCTCTTGAAGCTGATCTTGATCGGGTTCAATCGTGACACGATGATTCACCGCGAAAGCTGGGCACGGCTCCCCAGGGGTAAACTTCCAGGCTACAAGCTCGAGAGTCCACATGTGCGTGTGTGTGTTTCTCGAGCGACACTGCAAGGAGGCGGCGAATGATCCTCTTCGACAGGGGTATTGTCTCGTCTCGAACGTGTACAATGCATGAAATTTCTGTGATTTTATGTTCATTTTCAAGAAATACTATTTCGAGGCACAACAACAACAGTATCAGCGGGAAAAAAAAAGGGGAAGAAAAGAGAGACCTTCCAGGAAGTGGGCCATGCAAAATTCGAAGAACGTGCGATTGATGATACACGCCCAGTTGACCACCCCACCGCGCTGTGTAGACACGCATCGAATTCCTGCCCCCTTCGCCCCCCACCCACCACGGAAAAGAACAAACGGTCTCCAGACAGCAACCAAAGCAAGATGCACACGCGAGCGAGTAGACGTACACAGACAACACGCACCCGCACAGTTCCGTGCATCCCCTGCCGGAGGCTCTCCATCAGCCGGACCGCGCCGCAGGCCCCGTCCGCGTCTCCCCCGACCACCCTCCCCATCGCGTGGCAGTACGCGCAGCTCCACTTCGCCGACCCCCCTTCGCCGGTGCCCTCCGGCATCTTCCGGAGGCGCGGTCGGAGGCAGGATAGGTGGAAGGCCGCCGGGCACGTGCTGCACAGGAGCAGCGGCCCCGCAGCGGCCGGGCCACGGGCCTGCGGGAGACACGGGGGCGCCGGCCCGTCGACGGCGGCGCCGTTGCTGTCGGTGCCCGGGCGCTGGCAGACGATGCACGCGCGGAAGTGTGGTCCTTGCTGCTGCTGCTGCTGCTGCTGCTGCATACCCGCGGTTGCCGTTGCTCCCGGGGGGGGCGCGCGGGTGGCATTGGCGGCGGTGGTGGTGGTTGGTATCTCAGGCGTGGAGGTCTTGCGCTCCTCGTTGGTGGTGCTGTCGAGAGCCGCCGTCCACGGAGCCGTGCCCACGGCGGCACCGTCCTGTGCCCCCCGAGATGATGGGCACAAAAGCACCATTAGCAGTCGGCCAGCCACAAAAGCACGGCGAGCGGAGGGGTGGGCGCCGCGGTGGTACAAAGACAGGAGTTAGCTCGGGGGACAGCAGAGTCCAGGACATCGCGCATCGGCAACCTAATATACAAGTCCAACCTGAAACCGCTACCTCTTGGTACGTGCTGCTACAGCACAGTACAGTGCAGCGGCGCTGCCACACAGGCACAAAGGATCACACGGCCGCGCCACAGCGATGCCGCCGAAACACGGGCACCTGCGACTCAAGGGAAATCGCTTGCTGGACACGTGGCGCATAATAATCGTTTCTGTGTGCGTGCTCAACGCTCGTTTTACCCCCCCACACCGAAAAAGGTTCCATTGTCTTACTTAGTGGTTCTACGCCCGAGGTATAAGGTACACAATTCCTTGGCGGTTTGTAGTGTTCTTCCAATGCCCACCAACAACGGCCCGCCCCAACGGCGGCGCTACCTGTAGACAAACACAGCTTCTAGGTTTAATACAATAGCAATACAATAATATAATAGCATTTGGTGCACCGTTGTTCTGCGGTCGGTAGCCCTGTCACCCTCTCGCCATCTACGAGTACTCGTTTCGGCTACGTCCGCAACAAACTCCGACTGGGAGCACAGCAACACTATAACAGCAACGACAACAACAACAACAACAACACGTAACCACCACCACCACCATCAACAAGGCCAGGACGACGCCCATGCACCTGACAGACACCAACACCAGCGGCAGCAGCAGCAGCAGCGGCAGCAGCGGCAGCAGTAGGGCCGTCATCGCCGCCCGTGCTAGCCGAGGTCTTTGTTACCGCTTCCAGACCCTCGCGGGAGGAGCACACGTAGATCGACTGCCGAGACCTGGGCACCCTGCCCACCTGAAGAAATTTCTGGAAGCACACAGCAGCAGTAGCGACAACCAAAACGGGGGCGGCAAGGCGCCAAGAAGAACAACCCATAGTGCCAGTCAGCAAACAAGTGCTGCGATAATCCGACGACACATCGGGCGGGGAATGTTCGCCACATTTCGTTCCCAAAGTCTTGGATGTGGAGGAGGGAGTGTGTCCCCCAAGGTGACTACTTGGATCTGCTTAAAAGACAGACGGACGGACACAGAGAGAGAGGGGGGGGGGGAGAGAGTACAGGGTGTCCGGGCGCAAGCACGAGCAATCAACGGCGAAACAAAAGGTTCGCTAGGCTAGGGTGGTGCTTGCCCTTGCGCTTGCAAATCTCTGTTGGTGGTGTTGCCGCGGACAGATAGCACGGCGACATTTTGGCCATGCATGCATTCCTGCTGTCAAGGGCATGATACAAGGCAGTTGGATTATCGTCTTAGTTAGAGAAGAGCACGTCTTAGCAACAAAAAAAGGAGGGTGTGAACGAGAGGGAATTGTCTCTAACAGACGCTGGGGATTGGAGACGGGGACCACTTTGGGAAGGTCACCTTCACATCATTACCCCCACCCTTTTATTTCTATAATAGGATCCTCTATCTTGCTTACAACTACTGTACCATATAGGCAAGAAAAAGGCTTCTGTTTCGGGTACAACCGGAACAATAAAAAACTAAGGGTCACCTCCAGATGCCCTCGGCCAATGGTCTCAAAACCAAGGCATGCAAAACATGAGTACGACCCCCCTCCCCCCTTAATAAGGGCCTTTTTCTTACTATACTACCAAGAGGAAAAACTTCCACGGGGTAGCAAAACCGGAACCCCAATAAAAAACGGAACTTCCCCCACAAGTACCCCCCCACACCTTCTTCCACTGGAGCCTTGTCGTCGCCCCCGGAGGCAACTTAGCCGGACCTTGCAGCCCAGGGGCATCCTCGGGGGAAAGCTGAGCCCACGGTCGCCGCCTGTACCTTTGGAACACGGCGTGCTTCTCCAACACCCTGGTGGGAAGGCGACAGCAAAGCAGCAGTGAGCGAGAGAGAAAAGCAGCCAAACACGCTTGGTTGCTGCAAGAGATAAAAAAAATAAAAAAAATTCAGAGCACAAGCACGGCGTTCGCAAAAGGCCGTTCTCTCTCTCTCGTCCAAGCTAACGGGTGTTCGTTCGTTTTCGAGTCGTTATTTTTGTCGAAATTCGGACCTCATCAAGGCCAAGGTGAACGCATCACCACAAGCACAATCGCGGGCTTGACCCTTTGCTTGTTCTTCTTCCCCAACAATCACCCTCCCTCCCTCGTACTTTCTCCTACCCTAGCGGCGGTGTCGTTCTCTCTCTCTGTCTGTGCTGAAGCAACCTGATTCGGGGCTGCGCAGAACCATTCCTACACGTTTCCGTACCTAGTGTTTACCCCCCCCCCCCATGCATTTACAAAGCAACGCCGTCTCATCTCTTTTCACCCAATACGTAACCCTACCACAAAAACCGTACTTCATTATCGCGTAGGGGTCCAAACCCGTGTTTTTTTTTTTCTTCTGTGTCGTCAGTTTTTCTCTCACCCGGTGCCATGCAGAAAGCCGTCCATGAGCATCAGCTCTGCCCCAGGAGGGAAATGCGAGGACCCGAGCATGGCGGCCGAGCAGTGATCCACGAACTCTCCCTTCGCCCTGCGGTATGATAGCAAAAGAAGATTGTTCCGCCCTTATAAAAGCCGAAGCATGCATAGATTGTGTCGCGTTTCTTGTCTTTTCTTTTGATTTTCGCATGTACTGCCTGTGCGGGGTTGTTGGCCCGTGATTACGGAAGGCTTCCATCCGTGTAAGTTGGACCAGTGCGGATGTCAGAAGGAACAGAACAGTATTTTCGGAACACGGTTATTGCATGTCAAGACGACGGCCACAACTACAGGAACGATAAGGACAACAAGATCAATGACAGCGATAACACCAACAACACCAACATCAACGACAGCGACAACACCAACAACAACAGCACCAACGACAGCGACGACGACACCAACAACAACGCAAAACAACCACAGCAGTGACAACAACAACACCAACGCCAACACGCCACAAACAACACCAACAATTTCTTACCTGACGCGAGCCCTTGAAGGGCCGGTCGCCCAGACGACGAGAGGGGCGGTGTGGCAGTGCCTTGGCTCCGCCCACCCTCCAGGTATCTTTGGCCAGACCGGAACCACGCCTCCCTGCCCACGACAAAACAATCGGTGGCGGAACACAGAAAGCACCCACACTCATACTTCTGGCCCAGGCTGGGGTTCTTTACCGTTTTCCTAGGGTCATGCTAAATACGAACGGCCGCAAAATAGGTGCAAGTATAGGGGTTCTTAACGGAGCTCACAAAGGGCGTTAAGGTTCTTAAGAACGGGCGCTGCTCCTCTGTAAGGGTGTAGGGGAGGGCTGAGATGATCATGCCGTCGACAACGCCATGTTGTGATGTACTCCTTTAATCGTGGGGTTGGGTGGGAAATGTCCCACGATAGCCATGAAAAAAAATAGTTGGAAGCGGGTACATACCAAACCATACACACGGGGTCCCAGTTAACGGCATTTACAAGTGTATTGTGTTTTCAACCGCACTAAGACTGAGGAATTTTCATTGGTCAGCCGGTTAGCGCGGTCGATGCTAACAAATAAAGAAACACATACATACAACAGTCGAGGAAATAATCAACGGTACGAGACCTACGGCTGGCTCCACCAACACCTTCCTCACCCCGGCCATTAAACATGCCAACATGTCAAGTAACAACCAATGACGGGCCACGCTCCGATATAAGAGGGTACTGTACCTTACAAGAGGGGGCTCCGATGTTAGGAGGGTCCAAATCGGTGGTCACGACTTCGACTCTCTATATTATAATTGAGTACTCTCTCAATCCGGTGCAAGCGGAGGTTCCGATATGAGAGGGTGTCGAGCCGTTGTCACATCACCCTCTTATAACGGAGCCACGGCTGTATCCTTATCCCTATCCCTATCCCTATCCCTCACACAAACGCCTCACTCCACACCAAGGGTATGGACAAACAGCAGCCCAACCTGGATTCAGGGCCAAATCTGGTGGGGGGGATGCTAATCTCATACACTTTGATCAGTGGGTTCATGCAGAAGATGCGGTTGCCACTCCCTGGTCTGACTAGATGGGGGGTCACCGAATTTTTATCCCGGACGGGGCCTCCCATACTAATTCCTATACAAGCCAATCTGGATTGATTAAGAGCACGATGAACATAGGTGGAGCGACAACAAACTGGGCTAAGAACACACGAAGACATGGGCCGAGACGGATGGGTGGGGCTGGAATATCTCAGTTGTGTGCCCCCCTTTGTCCAGACCTAAAAACAACCAACCGCTCCTCTCACCGGGTGCTGTTTCTGCAAGCCTTGCTTTCCGCAGCCCACCCTCCCCTTCGTCAAGCCCGTGCCGCTACCGCTACCGCTACCGCTAGCGGCGGCGGCGGCGGCGGCGGCGGCAGCGTCTTCCTCAGCAAGTTGCGCCAGGACGGACGGCGGAAGGGGCAGCGTGCACTCGTTGAGGCACTTTCGCTCGGGGGACTCCCAAAAGCTAACGCCTATCTCCCGCCCTTGTTCCTTCATGCTCTTCAGCAGCCTGTTTTTGTAACCGTTGCTGTTGTTGTTAGGTAGTCGTTGTTGTTGTCGTTGTCTATGTTGCTGTTGTGATTGTCGTTGTTGCTGTTGGCGACACGTTTCGTTAATTTGTGCGAGTGGGTGCTATCGCCGGGTATACCAGGCACCCACCCTTGCACTACTCAGACAAGGAGGCAGTATGAATATCCCATGAACATTCCATCCGTGTCAAGCGGCTTCACCCGCACAATACCGCGCACCCAGCACTACTCAGGACAAGGAGACAGGATAAATCCGTGTCGCGCGACTTCACCGACAACATACCGGTCACCCGGCACTCAGACAAACTTGAACGCTGTGTATTCCATCCGTGTCACGCGGTTTCACCAGTAGCGCTATCCTACCGAGCAGTTGCACTGTTCAAGCGCCGACACTACTATACTAGTAATAAGGGCCCACCCACTACCGCTGCAGTTACAGCAGTACTTGCCTCAAAGCTTCGTGTACCGTCAGCTCAGCGTCGTCGTGAATGCTCGCCGAAACCACCGTCTCTCCTTTCTGGATACAAGAAAAAAAAAAGAAAGGAAAGAAGCAGGGCCGAAAACATAGGACGAAGAAATGAGAAAGATCGACCGACGGGTAGAGGCAGTAACGCCGTTTTGAGGTTTCCATACGATAGTTACTCAACCACGGGAGCGGGGACTACTACAATATACATATGTTTTCGTCATTTTTCTCGAAAAACAGCGGGAAGAGGTGTGCGTTATGTGTTGCCTCTGAGCGGTCGAGTACCCGCCCAGGTGGGCAGCGTCAAGAATCAGAAACGAAAAAAAACACAATAGCACGAAAACAAATAATTAGCACACATTTTGTCTGGTATAGTCATTTTACCGTCTAATCATCAACCTAAGTAAATAAAAAAATAAATAGACACACATAAACTTGTCCGGAATGTATGTAAAATCTTACCGTTTAGTCAACCTAAACAAAGACACACATCTTGTCCGGAACGTATGATATGTAAATTCTTACCGTCTATTCATCAACCTATGCATATCCTCTGCTGGTGGTATCTAGAAATCAATCGCAAGGTATCTGGCTTCTATTTGCGCTGAGGGGCTAACATTCGGGGGCCACGCCGTACAACATTCTGCGCGTATCTACATACGTACGTATGCTTTTCAACTTATCGCGCGATTTTTGACGAACATCTTGTCCAGGTAGGTTACACAACACTCATCAATCCAATTGCTTATCTACCCTGGACTCTTTCATCTGTGGACAACAGACGAATTTGTGTCATTGTATTTTTGTAAGAAAGAAAAACAAGACAATCTTTCATCTGTGGACATGTAACAGATGAAAAATTGTGCCATTGTTTTCGTAAGAAAGAAAAACAAAACAAACTTCCATCTGCGGATTAACAGCAGATAGATGTGTCAATTGTCCCGCAAGAAAAAAACAAGAAAACAAGACGACAACAACAACAACAAAAAAATTACCAACACACAAACTCACTGCTGACGGCCCCACGCCCCCCCGCATCTTGTGGTTCCACAGGCTGGACATGCTCATCGCGTCGAGGATTCGCTGTGCCCCCGGCTTCACCGGCCCCTCGAACCTCCTCCCGCCGCCCGGCCCTTGATTGGCGAGGCCGCCGGAGACGGCACTTGTGAAAGCGGCAGCGGTGATGGGGGCTCGGGTGAAGCTGAAGGAAGCCCCCAGCTGCCGGAGTCTGGCCAGGCTGATGTTTTCCTCGTAGCCCTCTTTGAACCTTTTTGGCACGCAGAGTAGGAAGGCGACAGCAACGTTGACGAAGGAAGATGGTGTCATTAACAACGACGATAAACAACAACAGCAGTGCAACGGCAGAATTACATCGTCAATGACATTCACCGCGACGATGACAGCAACACAATACATCGTCATCAACGACAACAACGACAACGGCGACAACAACAGCATCAACACCAACAATAAGGTATTATCATCATCAGCAGCAACGGCGATCAGCGATAACTATGACAGCGACGACATCATTGTCACGAGGAGAGCTTAACTGCGTCATCGGTATCCGTCTAACACACACACAAGACCTCTACAAGGTCACGTGCACGTTGTCGGCAACGGCTGCCATGAGGGTCGGGCTGCAACAACAGCGCATTGATTTTCGTGTGCTTCTACAGGAATATCTAATAATAGAACCTTTTTGGAGAAAGACAACGGACGTCCTTTCGAACTTCAGCAAGCACAGCGCAGTTGTTGCCGTTCAACCGCGGGTGGAAGGGAGAGCTAAGCTAGATATAGCCAAAAGTTCAATCACCCCCAGCAGCAGGAAAGAAGCACCCCCCCCCAGGAAATCGATCATGGGATGACCTCAACCTCGCAGACACCGCTCCGCATCACGCATGCACGTTGCGGAAAACAAAACAGACACAAAAAATGGACAAACGAGCACGTTGCGCACACAGCTCGTGGTTTGGCTGCGGCGCGATTAAGCCCAACCACCACCACCACAATGTGCTAAGTACAAAAAAAAACAAAAAAGCGGCATCGGTCTCTTACCTGCACACGAACAAATCGGTCGGCTTGGCCACGATCTTGCGGTCGATCGGCACCGCGCCCATGGCCCCGCCGCCGGCGCCCGCGGCCACCAACGCCGCCGCCGACTCTGCGGCTGCCGCTGTGCTACCGTGGTCCAGCACCTTGCTGCCCGAGTCCTTACTACCGCCGCCACCGCCCCCGCTGCCGCTGCCGCCAGTGCCCCCGCCGCCGCTACCACTCCCGCCGCCGCCGCCGCCGCCGCCGCCGCCGCCGCTCTGGTTCATGAGGCGCTGCTTCTTGATGAAGATGGCGTCTTCCTTTGCGTCCCTCGCGCGGTCCGACTCGAAGCGCCGGCGGCCGCTCTTCCTCGAAGGGAGGACTACCGCGGCCGCCGCCGCCGCCGCCGAGGCTCGCGGCCGCGAAGCAGCAGCAGCAGCAACCGGCGCCGCCGCAGGCGGCGGAGGCGTTGCCGCGGTAGCTCCCGCACCGCCCGCTACCGCTTCCGCCGCCGCCGCCGCCGCCGGTCCTTCTTGGCTTCCTCCTCCTGGTTCTTCGCGGTCCGCGGCAACTTCGTGCGGGTCGGTGGTAGCGGCGCCGATGGCTTGAGGCATGGGTGCGTCGTCGTTGCCGCCGTCGCCGCCGCCGTCGCCGCCGCCGTCCGATACCACGGCCATCTCGGCGACAGCAGAAGCAGCGCCAATGGCAACGTCAACACCACCACCATCGCTAGCAGCGGCGGCGGCGGCAGCAGCAGCAGCAGCAGCAGCCTCGGCACCAGGAGCGCTTCCTTCTTCTCCGGCCGATGATGCCGCCGATGCTGTCGCCGCCTCAAGAGATCGTGGCTGCTGGTCATCGCCGCCGCCACCGCCGCCGCCGGCACCGTTGACTGGTGCTGAATCGACGTGCGGGGACCAGAAATCCGTATCCGACGCGGAGGGGCCATGGTCGACGGCGTCACCTGCTGCCGAGGCTCTGAGGTCGCCGGAACCTGGCTTCAACGCAGGAGTGCCTTCCGCCACATCTACTCCACCGGCGTTTCCGTCTCCCTCTCCGTGCCCCGCCGGCGGTGCCGCGGGCACCGCCTCTGCTGAATGTTCGTCGCTAGCAACAACATCCCGTCCCTCCTCCTCCTCCTCTTCCCGCGTCACGGCCGAACCATCGCCCCCGTCCTCCTCCGGCTCAGGCTCTACTCCTGGTGCCCTCTCATCGTCGTAGTCCTCCCCCTCCTCCTCTTCGTCTTCGTCGTCCCCGCCCTGCTCCCCATCATCGGCGGTCTCGGTCTCCTCCCCTTCCTCCTCCTCCTCATCCGAGCCCCGCCGCTCATCCCCGTCCGTGTCCATGTCGGACCCGGTCTTGCCGCCGCCGTCTCCGCTGCCGCCTTTGCCCGCCACCGCCGCGAAAAACTCGTCGTCCTCCGATGCGCCGCCGCCGCCGCCGCCGCTGCTGCTGCTGCTGCTGCCCATCCCCGCCGACGCCGCCTCCTCGTCCGCATCATCCTCGATGTCCATCGCGTCGGTCTCGCTCTGCAGCCTCAGCGCGGACACATCGTCCCCGTCGCTCTCCTGCTCCTCCTTGCCGGAGTCTTTGGTCGGGCCTTCGCCGGAAGCGGGGACGCTGCCACCGTCTAGGCCGGCCGCCGCCGCCGCCGCCGCCGCCGCCGCCGCTCCCTCCGGCGCCGCCGTCCCGGCCTCCTCCGTCCCCGACGACGACCCGCTACCCCCAGCCTGCGGCAAGGGTGGCGCTTCGTCTTCTGCGCCAAGCACCTCCGGCGCCACTTCCTCTTCTACGCCTGCACTCCCTGCCTCCTCCCGGCTATCTCGCGCGCCTCCATCGGCTTCCTCGTTCGCCGCCCCACCGCCGCCGCCGCCGTCGCCCGAGGCGGCGTCAATGCGGCTGTCTGCGGCCGCTGCCCCTGGTGCCGCGGCGGCGACGACGCGGCTGTCTGCCGC